AAATAAAATAAAATAAAATAAAATAAAATAAAATAAAAAGAAAAGAAAAAGATTTGCAGTCTGGCTGATGAAGTCTGAAGTGAGTTTACAGATGAGCAAGCGAGCTGAGATACTTCTGAGTTTCTGAGGCAACCTCCTTCCCTGACATGGGACCAGTGAATCAAGGAGAACTTTGTATCACACTCTAAATGTTCAGGGGAAGACTAATGATGAAGTATGAAATTCCAACAAGCTAACCTTGTATTGGACAAATACTAATTTAGTGAGCTGGGTTCTGAGGTGATGAAGGTGAATCAGGCCTGCAAAAAGTTCAGAGGCCAGGAGTCTGATACTTTGGTGAGGTCTCTAGCTATCTGTCCATATCTTCTTTCATGGATCAAAGAATGATACTTCATCATAAACAGATTTTCTTCTCTATGTAAAAGGCCCTTTCTCAAACACCAAGAACTACACAAGCAGGGCTCTTTGCAAAGCTGAATGTCAATTCACCCTACCTCCCCTCGTCCCCACTTATCTCACCCCTCATCCTACCAAACAGACACATGAATGTCAGTGTACAGGACATGGGTTCAGTGGATGGCAGACAAGAAGCGTGACTCTCCCCCTGCAGACTCAGAGAAGTATTACAAGGATGTATGGCAACCAAGCCCAAAATCTGACTTCTCAGAATGTAAGCTAGACTCTCCAGACAATTATTCAGATTCACATTAGATTATTCCAGTAATACATGGAGTGTTCTCTCTCCCCATTTGCCCCCACTGATTCCATGGCCAATACGTCCTCCCACTACACTTCCACATAAATAATGACAGCAGGAGGAGTTAAGCACCTGAGCAGACTATAAGGGCACTCATAACATTCTAGGGGCACAGGTTTCTGGCTAACTATTAACCAGTAGGGGTAGGTCCCACTCACACACAGTTAAAGACATGACAGAAATCCTGCCTTTGCTGAGAAGACAGCTAATGAGGCAAAAGGGAACTATATGATGGGGAGCTTCCAGAAAAGTTGATGTCAACCCTGGAAAAAGTCAATGAGCCAGAAATAGCTGAGGCTTTTCAGCACAGTCACCCTGAATTGCTTCTGGGTTATAGGCACAGGGAGCTGGGTCTAAGTTCAGCAGGGTCATTTACTAAAAGTTCATTGAATCTTTAAATTTTATTAATTAAACTGGTAACATTCAAAGGATTATTAAAGGAGTAAGATGTCAGTCCCTGAGCAAACCTCCCAACAGTAATCAAGAAAAGGATTGACTACGAGAGAGGTGTCTTAAAAACATCCTGCTGTTTATTGGCTTTATGACTTTTTCTCTGGTTCTAATTCTTTATGGCTGGTAAGTGAACATTGATCTCTGACTCTTTACTCATTCAGAGCTCACCTGGCTGCAATCCCCCTAATATTGCTGTACCCAGGGCACCTTTCCCTCAGGGCCCCTCTTTCCCAGGAAAGACTGAGGGTTCAAAGACAACTGAGAAATCACCTAGTCCAACTGCCCACTAGACCAAGAATTGCCTATGTATCCCCAACAGGAGTCATCGGGCCACCTCCTGGGCCCATCTGGTATAAGCAGATGAAATGCTGCTACTTAATCTATGGAAACCCTACAGAATCCTTTGTTACTCCTCCCTGTATTTTAAGAGCAGTGAATTCCCACAGCATCATGGATGCCTTTTGAAACTGTCCCCCTCCCCCATCCCCACCCTTAATGGCCATTTGGAGGGTCCATTGTTACTGGATTACTGAATAATTGCCCACGGAGTCACTTCTGAATCAGGATCCCCTCCATGCAGGATTAGATAATGGAGCAATTCTCCTCAGGAAGGTCCCTTGAGGTGATTGCATTGTGGGAGCTCGATGCCACAGTATTGTCTAGGAACTTGGTTCTTTTTAGGTGGCTGAGCCTCAAGGTTGGGGAGACATTCATCTCTGGGCCTACAGAAGAGAAACATGATAAAAGAAACTACATGAGATGTTAGTCAAGGGTGAAAAAAATGTTTCCTACCCATTAAAGTAAAAATCAAGCACTGAATCTGACTCCAGATGTAGTGAAGTATAAGAAAAGCCAAAAGTGCTAGGCAGATTGCTAACTCCTGTGAGGAAACAAGAAGAAAACTTCACTGATATTATCACAAATCATTTTCCCAACATCATTCAGATGGACTTTTCATTTTGGTTCAGAGCCCTATTTTGTGCTCCTCACAGGGTCTGTTCAGAAAACAGCTCCTCCTCACTCAACTTCCACTAAAGCTGTAAGAATTCCTACATAGTTTCTAAGAATAATCAATGCCCACTCCATTTTTTTAACCTGAAATCCACTTCAAAAGTTTTCCTCAAACCAAACATTTATTTTTGTCATTTTCATCTGTGAAAATAAACATATGGCACAAAAGCCTGTTGGTTACTTTTAACTTTCCAAAACTCACTTGGTTTTTTATCTCATGAAAAGAAGGTTCACTTGAGCCGATACAGTCAAGATAGTAACCAATTTTCTAATTTTTGAAAAAATGTTTGTTGTTCGTAATCACCTGATGACCCAGGAGCATAAAACGAGAGTATTTGTTTGACAGCCCCCTTGAATGGATGACACTCACACCCACACAGCATTTAAGAATGCTCAAGAGTATTGAGTAACCACGAACATTCTTCCTCAGGAAGAAATTGTAGATTTCTTCTGGGGAATCTTTGAGCCATGCAAACATCTATCAGTGTTAGGAGGAAGACACTGATGTCAAACTTTCATTATAAGGAAAAGGAAAAAAAATAAGTAAGTGTTCCTTTTTTAAATTTGATGGAAGAAAACCTGTGCTTTTCTGTTCCCATGGGGCACATGCTTAGGAGAAGCACTAATTTAATCAAGCCAAGACTATCTTCGCCTAGCTGTAGCCAGCACACTCCCAGAATCCATGAATCACGGGTTATTTTCCAGAGCAGACTTAGAACTCAATTCAAACATACTCCTTGAGGATTGCTGAGAAGGGCACAAAAGCAAGTTATTAGTCTTTGGATGCCCAAGGCGGTCATAGAGTAGGCTGAGCAAGGGCAGGTGGCCTTGCAAAGGGGAACAGGGACACCAGTCAGTCACTGCAGGCAAAGCAGCTTTCAACTGCATGCCTATGGGCCAGGCTCTCTGGACCCCCTCCCCTGGGAAGCCAGGTGTGAGGTCACCACTCATGCACAGAGTGAGGTCAAATTGTTTCTTATTTTTTGTTTTATGTAAGGTTTAAAAAACAAGTCAACATAAGGCTTAAACAATAAGCCAGGTTTGGGGCTGAGCTGTTCCTAAGATTTTTACCAAGGCCACGGTTTCTGTCTGCCCCTTTGGAAGCCCTGGTTACTAGCAGGACCCTGGGTGGCACAAGGGAGCATTCAGACACAAGAGCATCAACACTAACCTGAGAAGTAGCTGCAGGTGAACTAGTTTCCTTACCACTTACTGCTGCCCTCTCACTGGCTGCAGCTTCTGCCACTTCTGCCTTCTGCACACTCGAATCCTCAGAACCAGGAGGCCCTATGTGCCCCAGACCTTCGCTCTCTGGGATGGAAGGTGGGTTGGTGGTAGCTTTCCGGGTTTGGCCTTTATACCAACTAGGGTAAAGCAAGGGATCCGCAGTGTCCGTTGCTGTAGGGACTGGAGTTTCAGACTCTGTGGTCTGCAGAGAGCCAGTGGATACAACCTCCCCCTTAATCAGGACAGATACATTCAAAAGTAAAACAAGAAAAAGAAGGAAAAAAAGGCAGTCGATTTTAGTTCCCTTCAGGTTTGACAATTGTGAGCTGTGTGTGCAGTGCCTACTTCAGTGCATGCTTAGTTCATCCCACCCTTGGCAAGCGCTAAGGGCAGAAATGCTAACAGTACCCTCTTTGTGGCCTCTGCAGTGACCCTTCTTCTTTTCTGGGCTTGTCTTCCACATGATGGTAGCCTGACCAGGAACCCTAAAATGAAGGTGACTTACAAAACATTTGATATGGGGAAAAGGTCAAACTATTGACCAAAATTAATTTTTAATATATGTGGGCTACCAAAACCTCTTTTCTAAAACCAGCCATTGAGCTTATTCCCATTTAGTTATCATTCCTCTTTCAATTTCAGTGCAATTGGTATACTCAGATTTTAAAGATTTTAGGAACTGTAAATAACAGTATTTTAGCCTGGTTGTCTCTGGAGGCAGAGCATAGATTATATACTTCCATCCCCCAGTTCTTGCTCTGAGGTTTTGTTTATATAGGTAATTTCAATCCACTTTGAAAGCAGGTGCAAAAACAGGGCTCACTTGTGATGAGTCTGCATTGTCCACAAATTCAGCAGGTTGGGACCCATCTGCTGAAGGTGTCATGTAGTCAGCACAAAGGCTTGAAAACTGGCCAGTGACATCTTAGAAATGTAAGGTCAGCCAATCAGGGTACAACATTTGGGATGAGCTAATTGGCTTACAAAATGTTTAAACAATTCTGTCAACACATAACCTTATCAAATGACATGCACAGAAAATGAGGCTATATTTGCACACTGAATGAAAGTTGTGTTTCAGGGTAAGTAAGAGGGATGTAAATTACCATGGCTTCTCTATTCACTTTCGATATTGTCTGTAGAAAATGCCGAGTTTCAAAAGTATATTCATTGTTATTTTTCATCCAAATGGCATACTGTCACCATATACCATAAATCTGTATTCAGAGCAGACCTAATCCTCATGATATTGGCTCTCTATGAATATGTTACATATACACAATTTCCAAAAGAAGATTGCCTCAAATTTGAGGGTATTATTCATGGAAAACCATGTCAAATCAGTTATAACAACTGATCTGTTGAATAACGTACAGGGACTTTTCTCCCAGACATTATGACTGCCCTGAAATCTTTTGTCTTTCACATACAACTGCCCTGAAATCTTTTGTCTGGCATATAGTAATCTTTTCCTCAAGGCAGAATAAATTGTTTAGGCTGTTGATCAAGGAAGCACACCAGCATGTCCTGTAGAAAACTCATGAACAGTTACCTGTGTCACTGGGGCATCTGCAGCAAGTGGCAAGGCTGGAGGTGGCTCTGGAGAGGAAACAAGAAGTGTTTCTGGGGCAGCATGGACCTCTGAGGCCAGCTGAGAGGGCTCCAAGGCTTTCTCTAGACTTTCATCTTCTTCTGATGGCTCTGTTAGAACATGTTCTACCTCTTCAAATGTTACTTCTTCTTCTCCTTGTCCTTCTCCCTCTCTGTCTCCTCCTCCTTCCTCTTCTCCTTCTCCCTCTCCTTCTCCTTCTTCTTCTTCCTCTTCCTCTTCTGCTAAGGTAATGTATTTTTGAATCATTACAATGACCACTACTACCACGGAAACAATTAATGGCCAGGGCTAGGGAAATCATCTCTAACAGAACTTGACTATCGCCCAAGTACACCATCATGCTGGAGTTTTGCGCTTCTAGTTAAATGTGGACAGGACGAATGTGAAGGGTGTCAAATCATCACCATCCTTGCTCCCCTCCCCAGTATGATGTCTAGGTCTCACCACCACCATGCACCATCTCCCTGACCCCCAGAGCCTTTTCACATTATTACCACACACTGTCACATCTTCAAGCTCCTGAAAGGTTAGGATTGTCACTTATTTATCTCCATTGAGTCAAATGAAAATGCAACTCTCTTCTTTATCTAGTCTTATTGTAATTTCTTACTTCCTTTGGTCAGTGAATGCTGACTTTTGCCACAATTAATGTCATCTTTTCCTAATCCATTACTCTTAATATACCCTCAGACAATACTAAGGAGAGACAATATTAATTTTTCAAAAGATCCATCCAGAAAATTTGCTTCTAAAGTTATATCTGTGAACACTAATACAGCTTCCTGGCATTAACAGTCATCTAACTGAGGTGCCTCATCACCTAAATGGGCAAATGGATCAACACCATCAAAGATTTGGTCAGCTTTAAGGTTATTTTCCTCTTTTCAGTGTTTTCATTAGGACAAATTTCCAGGAGTGGGATTTCTGGGCCAAATGGCAGGGATGCATTTATAACTCATGGAGACATCTGGTCACATGGACCAAGTTTTATTATCAGGTTGTGACTTATTCTTGACTTGCTACTATTCTTGCCCTTGAAAGTTTGATTAAGTGGATGTGCTACACTATCTATCCAGATGTCTTCTATGTTTTATTTTTATCTCATCTCTAACCTTGCACCTGATGACATCTTACATCATTGTGGCTAACACCTTGTGTAGGGTTGAAGGTGAGATTTGATCATCATCATCAACTATTAAGTGTTTGACTACCCAGAGTCAAATGCCCAATAATGGCATTATAATGGGCACTGGTGATATGCAAAGCTAAATTAACAGTCAACAAACTGTATGGTTTTGTAATGAAATAGAACTTCACATTAGATTATAATCCTTGTAAAATTGTCACCATCCATTCTAAAAGTGACTCTGAACCCGCTTTTCCTCCCACTGAACTCCTCTGCAGCTTTTATGCACTTGCAGTTTTGGCCAAATGGTCACAAGAATAACAAACCTCTGTAAAAATCAATTTCGCGTATTATCTTCTCTTCTCTATTGAGATTGACTGTGAAGTGGTTCATGTTCTCATAACCATGCTCTATTTTCTCCATCTGAAATGCTTTCGATGCTTCAGAAATTCTGCAACAAAGACAAGTTGCTACTTTCTGTCACGGTTTATAATTTGATAGCCTTGGATAGAAATGAAAAGTATTGCATTTTTTCCATAAAATGAAAATTACTTACTTTTGTAACAGGGTTTTGGCATTCTGTGAAAGCAAACAGAAGAAAGCATACTTAAATTCTTTTCATCAAACATGATGTTGAGACTTAATTCTTTCCTTTGCTGACTCTGAAAATCTCATAGTTTAAATTTTAAATGCCATAAATAACGGCTCCTTTATACCAGAACCATCTTATATTTAAGCAATGTCATGGTCCCTTAAATTTATGCTCATGTTTAAACAGATGGAGAATAAGCACATACTGAACTTACATTTTAGTTGGTAAAATAGATCAGAATGAGATGTACATAACAAAAATGTGTTAACAACTACTTCTCCAACACCCATCTGCTTGGTTAGTTTCCTCTGATGCCAAAAAGAGACTTACCTGCAGAAACACTGCCATTTCTGGCTCATCCATGAACTGGATTCCTGACTCGACCAACTTTGATACATTCTCCAAATGATCAGAATACTTTTTGATCAGAGCACGGACATGTTCCAGTTTTTCCCCTTGAGTTCGGGTAATGGCTTGGCTCATCTCATTCTTCCTCTCCTCCAGGATGCCATATAGGTAGTCAAACTTCTCACAAAGTTCCTGTTTCTGTTTTTTGCAGCATTCCTATTAGTTGGGTTAGCTAATGTTAGAGAGTGTTTGGAAAAATCACCTTTTTTGGGAGATAAGAAAATTTATTTATGTCGGATACTTTTCCCTTAAGCTATCACTGACAGATACCTACTGTGTTAATACTTTGAAAATCCCACTTTTATCAAATTTGATACTTGGCCAATCCAAAATAGGCCAATCCAAAAAGCAATCAAATAGGCTAAGTAGATCAATTATTTGTTCACCTTCTGTTCTTTATAAATGGATAATTTCATAAAAATTAAGACAGGTTTTATTTTAAATTATATATTGGTTATAAAGCTTATAGGTTTATATTTTGCTTTGAAATGATTGTGTGTGTGTGTGTGTGTGTGTGTGTGTGTGTGTGTGTGTGCGTGTGTGTGTTTGTAAGGAAAAAACTATGGTACTTCCTGGTTTGTACCCTCAATCTTTCTCTGTCCTGTCTATACCACTACTGTTGTTGTTCATTCATCCCATGTAGATTCTGAAGCTTCCAATGGCCTTGGCATCAGGGATGCCCCCTTCAAGTCAACAAACACACTGCTGCCAAATTCATTTTCCTGGGATACAGTGCTTTTTCTCTGTTATGACTCCCCATTGCCTAAAGAATAACACTTTAACTTTACAACCTGCTTTCAAATCTTTTTATTACCTGATTCTAGCTTTCCTTTGCCACATTTTACTCTTCTCCATCACATACCATACCTGTGTCCAGCAAAAATGAATCACTTACTTTCTTTTCTCATGTTCTCCTTCTGTTTAGAATGTTCTTCCCCAATTCACAGTTGCAAACCCTAAACTATCTTGAAGACTTGTTGAAATATCACTTCTTTTATGGAGCTTTCCTTGATCTCTATGGTCAAATGTCGTTTTTAATCTTCTGAAATTCCATAATACTTATCACTTATGGCATAAACTTGCATTCAGGTGCTCTATTTATCCAATACTATCTAAGAGAGTGAAATATTGAATCTAGTCTTGGATTCCTGGAGGGAAAGGCTGTATGGGATGTCAGCCTCGTCCACTTGCTCTGTGTGACTAAAGCATCTCCAGTACCATCCAGCTCCCTTTATACTCTGAATCCTTGTTTCAATCCAGTTAGCCTGGTCATTGGCCTCTTAGTGTTTTAAGCTCCAGTAAGCTTGATGTGTGTGTGTATACCTGTCTCCTTGGACTTGACCATCTGGGTCCAGGACCTTTATGGCTGAGAGCAGGTTTTAAGCCATGATGATCCAAACTAGCTCTCCTGCCTTGTGGGTGCTTCCTAGATCCAGCCAATGTATCACTGACATATCCGACCTTTGTATGACCCTTATTACCTGTTCTTTTATTTTAGTAAAAATTATTCTCTTTGATATCACATATTTCTTTCTTTACATGAATTTCTTAAATATCTAAATTATATTCTCCTTAGGGATAGAATCTGGGAATGCCTAGGACACATACCACCTTGGTCAGATGTTCAATAAATATCTGCTGAATAATTTTTTTAAATCACATTTCATTTCCCCCCAATTTCTCTACTATTCTCAGACTAAGAGATGCTCCACAAATGTGCAAACAATACATCCTTCATTCCACTGCCTCCATTCTATCTAATAAAGGGGAATATGATAATTGACCCTTATGCTGTCACAAAGATAGCAGCACCCACAGCCAATAAGGAGGGAATATGCTAATATTCTGAGAGACTGCCATGTCCTCAAAGATGGCAGCACCCACACACACAAGATGGCAGTGCCCAGTCCCCTCAGCCCTGCTGGGGTGCCTGTCTCCAGAGTCCATTGGTCCCCTCAACCCCTCAGCCACCCAGGGCTGGCTCGAGGCACAGGAAGCCTCGGATGTTGGCTGCCCAGCTGCTCACAGCTACTCAAGGCTCAGGTAATCAGGGCTGGCCAAGGCTTGCACTGCCTCCAATGGCAGCACCAAAGGTGTGATGGGGTGTCGCCTACCCCTGATGGCCAGCTTGCCTCCGCCTCTGAGGGCTCCCAGAATGAGAGAGGAGGCAGGCCGGGCTGAGGGATCCCCCCTCCAGTACATGAATTTTCATGTACTGGGCCTCTGGTTGGATAATATAGTTAATTCTCATAATAGTATTGCTGTCATCCACCCATCTATTCATTCATTTAACAAAATATTCTTAAGCATGTCATTTGTGCCATCCACTGCACAAGGCTCTGGGAACCTAACAATGAATTAAACATAATTCCTGTTGTCAAGGACCTCTCAGTTCACTGAATGAAAAAGACTATGAACCAATAATATAATATAGTTTAGTAGGCTGAATAATTGAAATATATTAAGGATTTATATCAGACTTCACAGAAGCATAGAGGTGGGGCCTTAATCAACCCTTTGTGTGGGTGGAGGATATTTAAGGGGAACAGGATGAGGATGGTGATATTAGCTCAGGAAGTGGTTCCCAAATTTGGTCAAAAAGGATGAACAGGAGGAATACAGGAGGGGATGAAAATGTATAGTCTTGGTAGCTGTCAAAGTAATAGGACAGGGGCCCACACAGCATGTCCAGTCATGAAAATTGCTGAACTTGCCCTATCCCATCCATTTCCAGCCCTTTAGCTTAAGATTTAGACTATTTTGCAGGAATACCACATGTTATTTTACTTCTATTCTGTTTGGGTTTTTTTTTTTTTTTTTTTTAATGATTTACACTTTGATTTTTTTTAAAAAAAATAAAATTGCTATCATTTTCATAGCAACTATCATTTGCCTATACTTTACAGTTCAGGAAATGCTACCCCATGGCTAGACTTTCAGCAGCTCACTTTTCCCCCAGGCACTTATTGCTGTCTGAAATGATCTTGTTATTCATGTGTTTATTCTCTATTTCTTCTACTAGAATAACATCTTCCTGAAAAGCAGGTGCCTCCTCTGTTTAGTTCACCAATATTTTCTTAGCATCACCTGTGCAGGCAATGCCCACATGAGAAATATGGTGTGAATGATTGAATGAATGAATGTAATCTAGGAATGGTCAGTCCTCATTCAAAAGTTTCTATTTTGTTCTGTTCCAAAGAAATGGGTATTTAACTGGATATCCCAAGCCTCTTCTTAATTCAATGCTCAAAAGAAAAAGAAAAAAAAATCACTATGCAACCCTAAGGAAACCATTTTACCTCAGAATAGTTTTGTTTCTTTTTTTTTCTTCATCTGTACATCAAGGGATGGGATTAAATAGTTGCTCAGATTCCTTCTTTCTCTACAGCTCCAATATTTTAGTTTTTGAAATGCCTCTTTATATCTCAAACGCCTCTTTTGATTCCTGGCGAGTTTCAAAATGGTCATTTATAGCCCTAAGATATAAATTGCATGCTTTAGCCCTGCAATGTCAGCTTGGCATTGTGCCATGGTCACGGTAGGAAAAAACCTGAGACAGTTGTGACCACTGCTCTTACCATGTAAGGAGCATGGCTTTGTGACAAAAATAGAGCTGAAGATAAGCTTTTAGCCCCACCACTTGTCATTGAGCAACTGGCTCTGCCAAGCCTACCCGTTTTAATGTGTCTACCACGTTCCTCCATTCCAGATACAGCTCTGGGTCTGTAAGGCCCACCCAGCTTTGCTTGAAATACAGTGCTCCAAAATTCCCTTCAATAAGCAAAAATGAAGGTTTGAAAAGTATACAGTAGATTAATAATACTAGAGAAAGAACTATATTAATTTAGGAAGATTCTCTCAAAGAAACAACTCCTCACTTATAAAGGCCCATTACAAGCACTAGGATGAGAGCCCAGGTCTCTGCTAGAAATGCACTGGAAAAGAGATGGACACATTAGAAAGACACTGTATCTCCAGGCACATGGGCTGGAGTTCAGCCCTTCCACAGCCATCGGCCTCTGTGCTGTGTTCAGTGGAACAACTCTATTCAATGGCCTTGGGCCTCGAGACTCCCAAACTTATGCTTTTTTCCCCACCTACCTATTGTATCGCCCCCACTTCATGTTAGAAAAAATAATGTTATAATTTATGAAAATTCTAATGTTTACTCCTGGAGTTCTTGGCATTAGGGGTTTTGTGGATTCGTTCTGATCATTTAGAAGTTCTTTGAGTAAACTCCCTGGAGGTTGAGGGCCAGGTGAGCCCATCCTGACTCAAGCCCCATGGTTCCGTAAAAGCCACGAGACCGGGGCAGCTGAGCCGCTGTCTAATTCAGTCCCATGTGCTCCGGGTAGTCAGTATGCTTTCCGGAAGAGGGTCGGTCTCCCTTGCTTGCCAATATTTTAAGTTACCATAAAGATTCCTAGATAAAGATAGAACTTCCATTCATTCTCAAATATTTTCTCTGCAGAGGGTTGCTTCACCCTCCTATCATAATCGACCAAGAGCCTGACATGCTTATTCTGACTCTTTTTAAAAGTTGCTACAGATGTTCCAGTGGTTTAAATGATCATGAACATCATTAGAATAAAATGACTCTGAGGATGATACAAGGTGACACTCATCGAGCCCCTGGCCTGTGCCTCTTACACCAATTTAGTCATCACGACAATGCTGTAAAGAAGATATTATTATCCCCAGTGTATTGTTAAAGAAATTAAGGCACAGAGAGCTGAAGTAACTACTTGTCCAGGGTCCTATAGTTAAGTGACAGTGCCATAATTAAACTCTGATATGCACTCCTATGTTCATTGCAGCATTATTTATAATTGCCAAGATTTGGAAGTGGCCCATGTGCCCATCAGGAGATGAGTGGGGCGGGGGGGAAAGCTGTGGTACATTTACACAATGGAATACTGCTGAGAGAGAGAGAGAGAAAGAGAGAGAGGAAATCTTACCCATTATGACAGTATGGATGGACCTGTAAAACATTATATTAAGTGAAATAAGCCCGTCAGAGGAAGACAAGAATCATATGATTTCACTCATATGTGGAATCTAATGAACAAAATGAACTAATAAGCAAAATAAAGACAGACTCATAAATAGAGAGCAGGCTAACAACTGTCTGGGGTGTGGGGCAGAAGGGGGTATAGGGGCTGGGGAAGTAGAGAGATGGAACAAAAAAGAAAAACCTCATGGACACTAACGTTTGGTGATTGCTGAGGGGAGGTGGGGATGTGGGGAGGTGGAGAAGAGTGTAAGGAGGGATAAATGGCGATGGATGGAGATTTGAGGTGATGAACACACAATACAGTGTACAGATGATATGTTGTAGAATTGTGCATCTGAAACCTCCATAATTTTGTTAACCAGTGTCACCCTCCCAAAAAAATACAATGAAAATCAAACTCTGAAATATGTTCTTTTAAGCACATGTTATATTGCCACTTGAATACTGCTTAAAATATTAGGGCATGCTTATTAAAATGATTCTTATTATAGTCATGGACAATATTTCAAAGCTGTTTGGGTAAAATCACTATTTTGGAAATATAGTGGATTTTTTTCTCACTGAAAAATTATTAGAGAATTTTATTAAAGTTGACATTTTTCAGATATTGCTAATGTTCAAAATCAAATATATATTATTCAATTTGTGGCTGTTTCCCCTAGACAGGCATCCAGGAAAACAGGAATATTTCTAGCCTGCCTGCCCACTAGCCTCAGGAAGGCTAATATTAATTGTCTGCTCTCTTGGGGTCCAGTGATATAGGATAAGTGCCATTTATAAAGACTATTTGGGGGAGATTACATTTTCTAGAGATGAAGAATGAAAGTCAAGCACATTTTTCTGGAAGCAGAGAGCTCCCAAAGTACACTTCTCCACTCCCACTAGCAGTCCCCCTCCTCAGTCCCAGCCTGTCCCAGGACATTTCTGGGGCCTGGTAAGGTGAGAGTAGGTAGCTCCAGACAATTCCCTTGCAATACAGAGCCCTGGGAATGCCCCTGCCTAAGCCACACCAGCCAGGAGGGCAAGAAGGACTGAAGGCTCTTTCATCCATCATCAGAACACAGCAACAGGGAAAACGCCACTCCCCTTCTCACACAGCTCAGACTACCCTTCTGTGACCATGTCACTCTCATCAATGGGAACTCACCTCAACTGAACACATTACTTTTAAAGAATAACAAGGAGTCCACAATGTGATTTCTCCTAAGCTCAGCAGCTCGCCAGGGCCAGTCCTGGGCCAGGTGCCTGCCCCGACCAGCTCTGCAAGACACTGCATGACTCGGGACAGAATTAGACATGTAAAGGGGATGGACACTTGACCAAAGGGCAGATGTCATGCTCCTTGTGAGGAGAGGCAAGTAATTAGGGAAGGTCAGAGCCCACTCCAGGGGCTGCTCCGTTTCCTGTCCCTCAGGGGTTCCTCACCAATCAAAAAGAAGAATTCTTTAATAACAGCTCCCCACCTCCTGGTCCATAGCCACCATAGGCTTTCCAGCAGGTGGTGAACAGAGCCAGAAAGGGAAACAACCCCAGGCTGAACAGGGACACAGGAGTTTTGGGACCCTGACCTGTTTTGTAGGGTAGGGCAATTTCACTCTGAGCCACGGACTCTGTGTGCTTCACTAGCTGGCTTCTGGGCCAGCAGGAAGTGAGCCGTTGGTGCTCTGCCCACTGATAAAATCCTACCTCTACAGGAGAGCACCTTAGAGATTACATGCGTGCACAATGTGACCATTTTGTGGCAGCGTCTCTATCCTCAGGGCCTCCTGCACACCCCACTGTATTTCAAGTAAGAATCCCAAAATCAGATACTTCCATGGGGCTCTGAGCCAATCCCTGCATTTCCTGATAAGCCACCTAAACTGATTTGAAGGAACTGTGCTTATCTGAGCCATAATCATTCATTCACTCACCCTTACTTATTTTATTGGTTATTAAAATTGTCAAGCTTGCTTTAGAAAAATGTGGAATTCAGGGATATATAAGGAAGGCATTGAAAATTGTCTGTGATCCCACTATTCACTGTTCTTAACCTGGAGTTCCCCCTCCCCCCATGGATGAATATGGGGTTATTTTTTAATATATACATTCCATATTGTTTTATATACCACTTTTTCATCAGATTTTCTTAAGATAAAACCCTAGAGTTGAAATAAACAGATAAAAAAGATAGGCACTTTTAAGACTCCTGCCACCCTAGCTGGTTTGGCTCAGTAGATAGTCTTGCCTGTAGACTGAAGGGTCCCAGTTTTGATTCTAGTCAAGTGCATGTTCCTCGGTTGCAGAATGGATCCCTGAGCTTAGATGGGAGGCAACCAATAGAGGTGTCCCTCTCATATCAATGTTTCTCTCTCTCTCTCTCTCTCTCTCTCTCTCTCTCTCTCTCTCTCTCTCTCTCTTTCTTTCTCTCTCTCTTCCCTCCCCCCTCCACTCTTTCTAAAAATAAATAAATAAATAAATAAACAACCAAACAAATAAATAAATTCAATGGGAAAATATCCTCAGGTGAGGATTAGCAACAACAACAAAGACTCCTGCCAATTTGCAGTCTCTTCTTGAAGCTTCCAGGAGACAATCGCATACATCTTCTAGTAACCTGTGAAAGTACTTATAAAAGTACTATGTTTGAGGAATGTTTTTATCAGTAATGATAGAGATAATAATTCTGATGGTGGCTACCAGGAAGGTCTTCCTGATATCTGCACTAAATCCGTTCTGTTAACATAACTTCATTCCTGTTCCTTCTAGTCTTGTTCTCAGTGAAAATAAAAACAACCGCTTCTTATTGCACCTGAGCTCCCTGGAACAAAACTGTTGTCTAATCTCTCCGTGCCCTCTCAGTGTCCTCTGACACTGGCTTTGCTCAAGGCCAACTGTCCTGACTCACAGGACTTTTCTCGTGTATGTGTCCCAACCTAAACGTCCCTCACAGAAAGCCCTCCCATGATAGAGGTATCTCTGACGAAGGCCAAGCAGAGACAAGTATAGAGATTATCTCACTGGCCCACAAGCAACACACTCCTATTTATACACTCAAGACTCAGAGTGGTACTACACTGGAGGGCTGACTCATGGCTTATTGATTGAGTTGTATTTGATTGTCTTTACTATAAACAAGTAAAAAGTAAAAAGTTAATATTGTCCACTTCAGAGTCTGTTTGGGCTTTTCACCAAGAGAAAATTTTTCTTCTATAAATGGATCCCAGATTTATGGGTTTTCACAGGAATATGAGTGTTGAGAAGAGAGAAGATTAATTTTCATGAATTGTAAATTTAAAATGAGATGATTATGGCCAATATCTTGAAGTCATCACCTAGGAACTGGCCTTTGGCTTTTGATAGGATGTGCCTTTCTAATAATAAAATAATAAGACTAGAGCATTTGCTGGGCACTCACCATATGCCAGGCACCGTGCTAAGCATTTTGCTTATGCTCCTTTAATTTCTCACAGTAACTATGAAGTAGGTACTATGATTACTCCACTTTTACAGAGGAGAAAACTGAATGACTGAATGTACATGTGCTTAGTTTTTTAAAAGTAAGAAGCAGAATGAGAAATACAACACAATGTCATTTATAAAATTAAAAGACATGCATATAAAACAATACATATTTTATAAGGAAACATAAATGGAACATCAAGCATGTTAGAATGGTTATTTACAGAGAAGAGAACAGGAGTGCAAAATAGGGATAAAAGGAAATAAATAGGTAACAAGGGAGGCCTTGCCCACAAATATGAAGACAATAAGCCATGAACTGAGCAGTACAATGCCTCAACTCTCTGCACCTGAAGTCCAACTAAAAAACAAATTACCCTAAAACTTTGAACAGGGAGGGAGGAATAAATGGCTACAGAGTACAGGGCCAGAGACATAGATGTCTTACACCTGTCTCTCTGCAGCATGGCTTAACTAGCCTGTGAATCTTCAAGTCTTGAAAAGATATTTGCTACAAAGCTAACCTTTTTAGGTTCCAGCATTTTGCCTTCAGCAATTACACAGTTTGTAATTGACCTTGGGGGAAAAGTGGATTTCCCATGTTTTTAACATGTCAAACCTAAATCTGAACTAAATAGCCAGTCATTCATTCACTTGTTCATCAAGTTTTCATTCAGTGTTTATTATGTGCCAGGTACTGGGCCAGGCAGAGGACAAACAGAGTTGAACAAACCAGAACTTTGGCCTCCATGAGCTCCCAGTTACTAAGCCATTCCCTAAGCACAATCAGGCAGATCTCTCTTCCTGCTGGCCTTTTGCAGCCCCACTGTCAGAGCACAGATATGCAGCTTAAACTAGAACAAGAATTCCTAAAGCACTTACATTTCTTAAGACAATTTAGATTTCCACAAAGAAATTGTGTTACAAAGATTGACAACACTCATTTTCATTATGGGAAATTACTTTCCTTGTAGCTAATCTTTCAAAATGGGTTGAACAAGAACAATGCATATAACAAAAACCTAGTAGATGTGGTAAAATTATAGGAGGAGAATATTTTAGAGACGTATCAGGAATGAGGTCCTTCTATAAGGGGAGATTGAAATGGTTTTCTAGTGTGGTGCTAAGAAAGCCATACCCTTAGGAGTTCAGTCTTAAGTTATACTTCTGTGGAGTCTTACTTACCTCAATAGTTTTACAGGTGTCCTCCAACTGGCTGATCACTCCCTGGACTCGATCATTGCTTCCCACAAGGACAGCAATGCCATCACTGAGCTCAGACTAATGAAGAGAAAAGAGGGGTGCAAGATCTTAGGGGTTTTCTAGTCAGCACTGGTTGTGAATTAATCATAGTATTGTCCTCAAGGGTTCTTAACCTAATCCTAGGATCCGTAAAACCCAAAGGAGGAACAGAGGGTCTCAGGAGGTCTGTGAACTTCCTAATCTTGTAAATAAATTCTGTATGGACGAATATAGAAATGCATTTGTGTGGGAAGAGGCTTCATATCTTTCATCAAATTCTTACCAGATTGTGACCCTGTTAAAAACATTAAGAATGATAATTATAGGCCATAGATAGAAAATAGCATATTCAAGCTAAAGAATTCTAAGTATTGTTTATAAATTGAATGGAGCCCATATGTGACATCAGGAACAGAAAATAAATGATTTGCTGAGTGCAGCTAAGGATTAGTTTTACTAGGGAAATGTATATAGTGATTACTCATTCATCTATTCACTTATACTTATTCAACATATATTTACCATGCACCTTCTATGTGCTAGGTGTACACATAATCATGTACTAGACTAAGTCACTACAATGTAACTTGCAACTACTAACATTCAACTGGTTCTAGGAGAAATTCTTCTTAGACTCTTTGACACAAAGAGATTTCATTGTTTGTACTTATTCCCTTCCCAAGGTTGGCTAAGGAGCATAAGGAACACAGAATGGGGAAGTAAGAAATATACCTGCTTGGTCCAACTCTGCCTTAACTTCTCTATGATGTTGGGCAAAATGTGTAATCTAATTTACTCACACTCTAAGTGACAAAAGTAGTGGTTGTAAAAACAATTTAAAGCTGCAGAATGCTTTCTTCAAATGGAATAAATGGATGAAGGTGAAGCTATTTTGGCCAAACAGGAGTGGGGTAGAAGTCCTGACATCTATCCTTCTGTTCATCCCACCTGAATCTCCAGGGCTCTGAGGGAAGCAGTGTGAAACTGGTACTAGTAAGTTCTAGTACACTAAGACTAGGGATAGAAGAAAAGGAGGAATAAATCACAATTAGATTAAAAAATAAATGTTATAGAGGCCTTATGAAATACTGCATTTTTAGCAGTACTCACTGGTGGGAACTGGTGTTGCCAAAAGTTTGGCTTCCAAATTTGATCCTCAGTAAAACACTGAGCAAATGTGAAATCTCTGATTCTAACAGAAAAAATAAATTTAAAAAAATGGAGGTATCCAAAATGGCTACACCTATTTGAGCATGTGACTCCACATTTATTTGGAACAAATGGTTAAGTTCCTACTTATCATGGGTGAGACTATATTGGCAGGTTGGTGGTAAACTGTGGAGATGCTGCATTTGGTCAGAATGAGGGGTCTGAGACTGAGGCCCTGGAGTAGGAGCACTCAGAGCAGGCCTTCCATTGACTGGCCTCAGGCAAAAGCTAGAAGGTGGATTTAACCTAGTGTTGAAGGCCAGCCCAGCAATGTTTTATTTATTTTTAAAATATGTTTTTATTGATTTCAGAGAGAAAGGAAGAGGTAGGGAGGAAGAAAGGGGGAGAGAGAGAGAGAGAGAGAGAGAGAGAGAGAGAGAGAGAGAGAGAGAGTGTGTTTAGTGATGAGAGAGAATCATTGATCGGCTGCCTCCTGCACACCCCACACCTGGAATCAAGCCCACAACTCAGGCATGTGCCCTTGACTGAAATCCAACCCAGGACCCTTCATCCCGCAGGCCCACGCTCTATCCACTGAACCAAACCAGCTGGGGCCCAGCAATGTTTTAAATTGTTCTTAAAGAAATGCCATTCCTTGTATCTATCCTGTACTAGGAGTGGAGGAAATCGGGGATGGGGGTGGGGGTGAAGGTGGGTATGTGGAGAGGGGAGGGGGAAGAAATCTTGTTGATAAATGAAGAATAATATTCTGTGGCTGGAGTAAAAAGGTATCTTTTTCTTATCTGTAGACTGAACTTCAGATAGTTTGAGCAGCTGGAGCTCAGATTTCCGTAACACTGTTCATCTTCAGCAACCTCCAAAGGGTGCAAAAACAGCAACCCTTTCCCTCCAAACCCTTCTTGACTGCCCCTCTACCCTGCCTACCCCCAGTCCCGAATTCCTTCCATCTCTGGCCTTCCCCACTGCCCTCCAGAGACTCAAACGTGAAGTCAGGTGCACACAGCATCCCTTCCCACATCCTTTCTGTCTCAAGGACCTGCAGAGGAGGGGCAGGAGGGAGTCCCTTACCTTCTGCCTCTGGAACACATGAGTGAGGGGAGCCACCTGGCAGTCCTTGTGTGCCCCAAAGATCTTGCACAGAGAGCAGGTGGGCACCTCGCAGTTTAGACAGTAGATGTTGATGCGCTCCTCTTCATGCTCCTCGCACCTGGGCTGGTCGGACTTCTTTTCTGGTCTGGGAGGAGGTAGCAGATAAATGTGTCAGCTCCCAATGGAGCACAGCCAAAATGGGTGATCAGCATCGCAAATCCCAACTAGCTCCTGTACGCAACAGCAACCCATTCCAGAGGGCTCCCAGAACCCTCCAAATTCAGTCTCCTTATAGTGATGTGCCTGGGGTGGTGGAGACTGATCTGTAGCATTTGCCAACTTCCGTGGTGTTGAGTATTCCCAGCATGGCAAATTGCAAGTTATGGGGTGTGTGGGTGTGTGTGTGTGTGTGTGTGTGTGTGTGTGTGTGTGTGTGTAAGAGATCAACCAAAGGACTTGTATGCATGCATATAACCATTACCAATGGACACAGTCAGGAGGGTGAGGGATTGTGCTGGAGGGTGGGGGTGATGGGGAGAAGTCAATGGGGAGAAAAGGAGACATATGTAATACTATACGTAATACTTTAAACAATAAAGAATTTAAAAAACAACAAGTGCAAGTCCTGAAAGTTAACATTGGAGCATACTCCAGCACTGTCTACACCAGTTTCTCAAGAGAATTCTTGCCATTAACCCAGAAAGTTAAATGTAAATAACTTCCTGAGGACTTGGCAGTGGTTAGGAGTGGGCAGTATGTGCTCAGGGAATGTGAACAGTTATACCAAATAGACAATCCGAAAAATGCAAAACACCGTTCTGGAACATAGTGAGCATTGGAAGTGCAAATCTCACAGATAATCCCCAAGTTTTAGTTTTCCCAACAGGTCAGCAACAGCTAAAACTGAGCTATACCAGCTAATAATGGAGCATCAGATTTGTAAATGCTAGAAAGAAGATGAACAAGCAATAAAGAAACCATGAGGGAGGGGTGACAATTCATTGCTATTACACTTAAGGATAACCTGTTAGCTGTGGAATCCCCTGTAGTTTCCAAAATTCATAGCGCATGATAGCACTCTGTATATTCCTCTAACCGTCAGCATGGCTTAGATATTATGATCTCAGGTATATTCAGTATATACAGTCACTTAAGACATGGAAATGGCCATAGGTTCTATGTTTAGTTTTTTATTGTGATTTTTTTTTTTCATAATGCAACCAGTATTTCCCAAAGTGTGATACGCGTACCCCCAGGGGTACGGGAAGAGTTTGGTGGGGGTACGTTGCACCGGAGTTTGGTGGGGATATGCACTACACCATGCTTAGCTGCGCCTAATTCTACGTTCCCATGAGTACAAGGGGTACTCAACATTACGAAAATTATAGAAGGGGTACACATATGTCAAAAGTTTGGGAAACACTGCATAGACTAAGAATTACTTCTCATGTCCCTTATTAGGTTTTTCTTGTTTAGGTGGCAATGTAGGCCCACAAGCATTCCCCACTTATGAGTATGTAATGAAAATCTTTAGACAACTTAAAAGATATAACAGACTTGGGACAAGCATGGTGTGTAGAAGGAAAATGTAAATGCCCTTTCCTAACAAGAGGGTAGCCAAACTCACAGTTGTGGTTCAGGGCTCAGTGCCAAATGCTGGCAGTGGCCCTAGCCATTCAGAGCAGGCTAGACTCAAGGAGTCCATAGACTGCACTCTCTGGTCTCTGAGGTTGCTGTGACTATCCTAGAGTTTTCTGAAGGGTGGGCATCTGGTCATAAATCAGGCAGCACCTTTAGAGTCAAAGCTCAATTCCAATTCAGCTTTTGCATGTGGTAGCTGCGTGGCCTCAAGCAAGTTAAAGTTATTTTACCTCTTTCAGGCTCAGCTTTTACTCATATTTAAAAACTGGGCTAATTAAATATGGCAGAATTTAAATAAACATATCCATTTGTTTATTTGTTCATTTTTTTAAAGAAATTGCTTCTTTCTTTTTTTCTTTTTTTAAATATATTTTATTGATTTTATACAAAGAGGAAGAGAGAGGGATAGAGAGTTAGAAACATCGATGAGAGAGAATCATCGATCAGCTGCCTCTTGCACACCCCCTATTGGGAATGTGCCCACAACCAAGGTACATGCCCTTGACCGGAATCAAACCCAGGACCTTTCAGTCCCTAAGCCGACGCTCTATCCACTGAGCCAAACTGGTTTTGGCTGCATTTGTTTATTTATGTTTCCTGTTGAAGTCCTACTAAAACAAGAGGTCTGGTGGTACTATTTGAATGTTTAAAATTATACATATGGATTACTATGAGTAAAATATTGAAAATTTTAATAAGATGATAATAATAATAATAAGCCACAACCTCACAGGATTGTTGTGATAATTCAAGAATTACATATGACCCATGTGTAAAGCACCCTGAACAGTGGTTGACATATATGCTATATGTATTAGTTTTACTTCCTATATTTTAAAGTTAATTATTATGTTTATTATTAATATCAGCAAAATTAGTTCCTGCTCTTGTCATTCCCCGCTAACTGTGTCTAGTTCAACATCATGCAGAATTCTAGATAAAAAGGCCAAGTTTTTTCCAGACCAACAATTTCTAGCCTTTCTGTAGGAGGTCAAAGTTCACCAGCTTCTCCCCTTTTTGCCCCCAGTCCCCATGACTGTGGGTCAGAGCTGGGTTCATCTCATTTTGTAAATTCCAGGTTATTCCAGAGTCACCTAATATATTTTACCTCTTTCATTTTTTTTGCTATAAATGACTCAGGATTCTGAGCTGATAAGGCTTCCAGCCACTAGAGAACAACTGGGTTTCTGCCCAAATATTTGTCTGAACCTTTTGTGCAACCTGTGGTTTTGTTACCAAATAAAAAATGTCCCAAAGGCAACTCTCAAGTTTAAAAAACAACAGCATAAGAAGAATTCAATAATCACAGAAATACCCTTAGTACACTCAGCTATGAGCTTTATTGCTGGACATTTGGTTCATTGCTTTTATACAATTTGTTCACCTGGGCACTATTTTTGACACATGTACCACACAGACTTTATAGTTAACTAATGTGTATTATAGTTTGACTAATGCTACAAGTTTTAACTTCTCTTCTTTGGACTTCATAACAACTATTATTATTTCACATGTTTCAAGGTCTTGCTTTGGCAAGTAGAAAAATGGAAAATCGTTGCAATAACTAGAATATGTAGGATGGTACTGTAGTAGGCATGGAATCCGTTATTATATAAACTTCGTTAATACTGGTTGATAACTCATTCGCTGGTTAACTTTTTTTAAAAGAGATAGTGTGTGTATTTGCATTTTAAGTTAATTAAATACAATGAAATCCAAGCAACAGCAACAATAGGACTTTATTTCTCCTCAAGAGACTTTTGACTCAAGGGAAATAGTCGACTACGTATCTCTGCAATATGTCATCAGCAATCATTCTTTTCCCCCGGTTCCATCTATATCCTATCTAATTTAGTTTTGAATCATAAGCAGAAACTAATAGCTATAGTGATAATATTAATTGTATGTTCGGTTTATAAAGCAGCTTTCCATCTAAGAGTGCAAGGCGCTCAGAGGCATGCAGATGTTCCATAAATACATGCCTTCTAGTTAGAATAACAATGAGGTCATTTCTAAAGAGTCTTAATATTGCTATCAAGCTTTGTGGACCCGCCTGACCTGCATACAATTGAAGGAGGGCTCTTCATACCATGCCTTCTAGGAATGAATTCTCACAGTGTTGTCTCTAGGAAAAGAACTTTGTAGCCAATATGATTTTTTGAAGAAGAAGCCTCCTCCTTTTTAAATGATCAGATGTATATACTGCATATCAATCAATAGGTAAATGCTAAGAGTATGCAATCTAGAGACAGGGAAACATAACCTGAACTCCATCTTTATTTTTCCCCCATGTCTCTACATTTTAAGTTGCTAAAGTGTATATCTCTATACACTAATTGCAAAGACTATATCTTGCCTTGCAATTTCCAGAGTCAATTCCATGACATGCTCGAGAATTTTGTTTTTATTATCATCTAGATAATTTTAAGATGAGATTGTCTGTACTAGGAATGGACTATTTGGGAAGATGCCTTTTCTGTAATTTCCTATAAAGTTTTATGCGATAAATTTTTGTCTATGTTGAATCTGGAGCTACAAAGATCCTGTTAAGTACAGAAATGGCCACACTGAATGTAATACAAAGCTTTGGGTGGAGCAGCATTATGCCTCTTTCAGTGTCACCATGTGGACTAGATTAGTATTGAGTTACTTCATTCTTAAATTGACACAAAAGCTTGGTCATTATCTCCCTTCTCCCTCCCCATCAGCAAGCAAACTCTCAATCCCACTGGGAAAGACTGACTTAGAAAAACATTTTGCTATAAAGCAATTAGCCTGTGATTGCTAAACAAGTGTAGTGATCCACTAAAAGAACCAATCAAATAAATAAAAACAAGCTTCCAATGGGTTTGATACATGGAAGAACCATACCTGGTGGACTCCTGCTTATAGATGTCAATGATATTTTCCACCAGCAGGTTCCTCTGAAGTCCATATATCCCATGTCTGTCCAAAACCACTTCATGCCTACAGGATGGGCAGCGGAATCGGCCTCCTGATGCCACCGTGGTGCCTCCTCTTGTGGGCAAGTATGGGTTAGAGGCCTGTTCTTGCCAAGCAAGAAAAGAGGAATTGAGTAATGCCATGGGTAGCTTTTCTGAGACGCCTCTTCATTCTCTGTTACTACAAACAACATCAACTTCTACTTTAGGCTTGCCATAAGATAATCCCTTTGGGCCTTATCAGCAAGTAGTCCTAAAACACAGGCCCAGCTCCCATCTACAGTCAACTGCAATGTATCATTTTCACCATGAGGTAATTTTCCATCCAGTGTTTTCATAACCAAAAGTTCCCAGTCAGAAACGCCAATATTAATGTATTGGATAGTAATTCATTTACAAATTTGAAACAGATTCCATTTAAACACACACACACACACACACAAATTTGATTCGTAGCATTGAAATAAGAGGAGGCTAACAGCAAAGCACGAAGAAAATCATCAGTTTTTTTTTCTTGAAAATGAATGCAGCCTTTTAAAGTTTTCTAAAGGAATTCACCTCAAAGTTAAGCACTTGATTCCAAGGAATCTTTTCCACCCCTACATTCCAAACAAACCTACCTGGAAGATATCACTGGCACATTTCCTACACAGGTTATGCTGACAGGGAAGAATGACCACAGGCTTCGTGAACATCTCCAAGCAGATGGGACAAATGAGTTGCTTCTCTAAGTTGTCCATGGTCTGCTGCTCTTTGGAAAAAGACTTATAATTCAAAGATGCGCTCATCTCCTAGCCGTCAGAGCGTGCACTGCTGGGGAAAGGGTGCTCCGAATGGTCTCTACAAGTGCTTCCTGGAAATAATTCCAAGGATTGTGTGATCAAGTGTCCTTCATGTTTCTTTCGATGGAGGACACTGTTTGAGGCCCAGGCTTGGAGTGGGAGCTGGGGCTGTTTTTAGCAGCGGGGGGTCATGTGACAGAAGGCTGACTTGCCCATATAAGCCAGTGACAGGAGGATAGATTCTGACAGGTGACAGACCACAGGAGCCAACATTCCTGCCCCAGGGAGTGAAAAGAGTGAGTGGGAAGGAGGATTACAAACTCCATTTAGAAGGGGTTGTGAGGAGAAGGAGGTCAAAGCAGACAGTTGTCAACAGCAAATGGGAAAGAGCATGCTGAGGAGTCACGGAGCCCTGCCCTCTGTGATTCTTTGGTGAGGACGTGGTGACGGGCTTCTCCGGGCCCGGGAGAAATGCAGCCCAGGCAAGAGTCTGACTGTAAAATGAATGCCATTTCTGTTCTGAGAATTTAGAAAGTGAGTTATCATCTCAAGTGAAAATAAACCATTCCTTGAAAATCATTATCCTAGCTTCACAAGGACAATCATCGAAAAGACTTGCTCAGTGTTAAATATGACATCTTCGCAAGGGTTGTGGTATGGAACACATTCTAACTTAAAAGCTGATTTCAAATCTTTTCACTATGAAAGTGTCTACAAAGTAAAAAATAGAACAAACAAAAAAACAAAAAAACCCACAAAAACACAAAAAAGACACACACACACACACACACACACACACAAAAAAAAAGCACACAAAAAAACAAATAACAGTGGATGCTTCAATTCTTTTTAAAAGTTGTGTAATAAAACTCCAGTGTGTTCTTTTCTGTTTTACATTGATTTTCCTCTTCCTTAACCTTTTGTCATCCTGTACCCTCTCTCCCATCCCTATACACACCCCAAAATACAAAGAAAAGGGAACAATCTTTACAAGGTTAAAAAAGTTTGCAATGACTGTCAGTAATGAGGTAGTAACTGGCATCTGGGGTAGCAGACCCATTATCTCATTTTGACATATAATGGATGACAGATATCAGTGCCATTGCCAACTAACGGGAAAATGAAGTCTTGCTTTCATACCTGTTTCTTACCTGGTCTGAAATACCTACACCCCTTTGCATTTGCTTTGTCCTCCAAGTTGATTTTTTAAATGCTAGTTTCCTGGTGGTTTCTGATATTCTTGGTCTGGTCTGTTAGTTGCCAAGATTTTTGTGAACCAACTATTTCATTAATATATATTTCATTAAAATTTTTAAATTAGATTAAAAATGGAAAAGAAATGCATGTCTATTTTTTATGTGATGAATTTGCAGCTTCATTTCTCTTTGATTTTGAAAACCTCAAACAATGAGGATACTTTGTTAACATATCCCTGATGTGCACTTAATTACCGGTAAAGACTAGGTAGGTGTGACTGACTAAGTGTGCTCTTAATGCTGTGTTTACTGAGAGCTTATTGAGAATCTAAAAAGCTCCATTAACTAATAATGTTATATGTATTCATAAACATATCAGGGATCTTTGGAGAATTTTATTATTCTTTTAAATATCTATTTAGCAACTATAGTGAAGAAGGGAATTGATAGAATCTTTTACTGTTTTAATTCAGTCAGCCTGGGCAGTTAATTGTATTTATCATTGTGTGAGCTATGAAGGTCTGAGCACAATAAAATAAAGTTTCTATTCTAAAAGCCCTTGCAACCTAAAAAAAAAAAAAAAAAAAAAAAAAAAAAAAGAAGCACTTAGCCCAGCTGGTGTGGCTTAGTGGTTGAACATAAATTTATGAACCAGGAGATCATGGTTTGATTCCTGGTCAGGGCACATGCCCAGGTTGTGGGCTCACTCCCCAGTAGGGTGAGAGGTGGGGTTATAGGAGGCAGCCAATCAATGATTGTCTCTCATCATTGATGTTTCTATCTCTCCCTCTCCCTTCTTCTCTGAAACCAATAAAAATATATTTTAAAATAATAATAAAGAAAGAAAAGCACTTAAGCTAATGATATACTATAGTATAGCAGAGTTTATCCTTATAAGAGGAATTCATTTTTTCAAAAAACATTCATTGAGTATTTATCATGTATTTTCATTGTGCTGGGCTCTGGGAATTGAAAGACGAAGTAGACACAGGTCATTGTCCTCAAGGAGCTCAGTCTAATATATAGTAGAGATGAGGCCTGCATATACAGAACCAGAGTACAGGACAGCATATTTTAAAGAGCTACAGAATTTCAGAGCTGGAGGAGTTAGGAGGACTTCATGGGTGGGGTAGCATTTGAATTGATCCACTGAGGAATTTAGGTGGGTCATAGGTGGGGCTCCTAAGAGAAGGCACAGAAGCAAAGACTGTGAGCACAGGAGAGCTGGGAATGCCAGAGTTGTATAATATGATGCTTTGGGCTGGAGCGCAGAGCACAGTGCTGGCTCATTGGCAGGCCAGGCACACCAGGCTAAAGGGTTTTCAACACTTAATAAATTAGACAACAGGAAATTGTTAAAAGTTTCTCAGAGGGATGTTTCCATGAGAGCTGTGCATTGGCTAGATTATAGTCTCACAGTGGTGGTTGGAACAGATAAAAGTGACAGTGACTGGCTAAAGACCAAATGAGAGGTTTTGCCAATAGCATGGGTGGAAGGTCACAGGCGATGGCAGTGGGGAAGGAAAGAGGAAATGGACTTGGGTTGACAACACAGTAGAACTCACAGAGATGACTCAGATGCCCTGAGTCTGAGCAACTGAGCAATGATGTAGGAAGCTGCACAGTGAGTCAGAGTCAGGCCTATTCAGCACTGATGGCCTCCTTGCTTTGTGATCTCAGGCAACTGACCTCACCTAGCTGTATTTCAGTTCTCTTATCGATAAAGTGAGAGTACTTCAGAACCTAATTTAACAGAATTAGTAGGGAAACCCCCTTCCCCTCTGAAACAGTATTAATTTTGACATAGAGAATTCCCAATTTGATTATTTAATGTAGAATTGGTCCCTAACCTCTCCTTTTTCCCCCTCTACCCCTTCTTGCTCTCTGCCTTTTACTGTTTCTTAGAATTGCCTCTGGAGGCTACACAGGAAACTAGAAAGAATCCCATAGAAATATGAGTGAAGTTGATGAGTAATGATTTCCTTTTCCTCCTCATCTGCTTTTCTCCATTCCTCCATCCTCCCTACTCTCAGAGACTAGCAATCTACAGAGTGGGCATGTGAGCTGAGAATGGGACATGGGAGTAGCACTCTGTTCTAGGGAGGAACCAGAAAATCTTAGTCCAGTCCCAAATCATTCACATAGTCTGAGAGACAGGTAGATTTCTGAAATTGAATCAGAATTAGAGTCTGGTTCAAGTCATTGGGATTTGAGATGGACTTGGGCCTCCACAGAGACATGAAAACCAGCTTAATCTCGTGAAGGTTTCCTGGATTCTATAGGAGGTGGTACATCACTTCCTCCCCTTTACCTACCCTATCTCTCCCCACACTAGGACAAGGGGTTGAAGCCAAATGGGAGCAATTAGTTGGAAGCCCCAACTGCCCCTCATGCCTAAGTCTCACTAGACTGGGGCAGGAGCATGTTTAGACATTTAGAAGCTGAAGCAAAACCACCACTGTTCTCATCTCCTCCAGTAGTTTCCCAATCCCCCAGGTAAATCAGAGGACGAAAGATAGGTCTCAAAGAACCTGAATAATTCATCAAACAAAACAGAGAACTGATGGTCAGATAGAGCTAAAGGGAAGTAAAACATAGATATGGTTTGAAGTAAAGCAGCGAGGACTCAACTCATGGCATCTAGAAAATACAGAACATTTTCCTTTTGTCTCCAGTATCAATCTTTTCAGTTTAGCTGTCTATCTGCCAATAGACAGTTTGTATATGTGGTTTTAAATTTTTTAGTGAAAAAATTTACAAAATCTAAAATTAAAGAGAAATGAACTACTTTGAAAAGTACTTAACAGAAGCCAACATTATGGCATTTCTTTCATTAGATAGTTTGCAGACTTCTGGCTGAAAGCTTCCCCCCCTCCCCCCCATATTGACAATTACCACTTTTCCAAATCTGTTGTTTATAAATTTTACTTCATCATAAATATCTCTGAAGAAATGTTTGAAAACCAACATATTGTACTTCCCTCTGAATATCCCTTGGCATAATCCACATGCCAGAAATAAACAGTGACTACCAAAAAGAAGCAAATATTTTAGCTAAGTCTTCCCATTAGCCATGCCTGAACTCCTCTCGTTGGCTCCAGGCCCTCCTTGACTCTGTCCTCAGTATATATAATTCCTCCCTACCTCCCCTCCCCAGTGTCCTAATTTCTCTGAATTCACTCTTGCCTTCTGCAATCTATTTCTCTTATGTCACTCCCTACTTAAATCCCATTAATGGTCATATTACCTCTAGGAGAAAGATATTAATTTTCCCTGTGGACTCCAAGGCCTGATCTGGCCCTTACCTATCTCACTGATGTAACTATCCAATAGAAATAAGATCTGAGTGACATATATGAGCGATATGTATGATTTAAATTTCTAGTAGCTACATTGAAAATCAGAAACAAATGGAATTATTTCATTAATATATTCTACTTAACCCCCAAACATATAATCTATTATCATTTTAACATGTGATCAATATTTTTTAAAAATGAGATATCTGTAAGAAGATATGGTTTTACTTCTTCCTTTCCAATCTAGAAGTGTTCTACTTCATTTTTCTTGTCTTATTACACTCACTAGAAACCATAGAATGGACATCCTTGCTTTGTTCCTGATCTTAGAAGAAAAGCATTCATACCATGAAGTATAGTGTTAGCTGTGTTTTTCATTGATGTACCTTATCATTTTAAAGAAGTTCCCTTCCCTTCTAAATCTACTGACAGTTTTAAAAATCTGGAATGGATGTTTTATTTTGTCAAATACTTTTCAGCATCTATTGAAATGATCACATGGATTTTCTTA